GCTGTGCAGCAGGGCAAAGGCAGAGCCAGGGCACTGCCGTGCCTTCTGAGCCCTGCAGCTTGCACAGGACTTCAGAATTACTGGTTTTGAACTGATTTGGTAAAAATAAATAAAAGTTGTTCATCCCATAATCACCAATCATTCTTTTTCTAATATTACATTTTTACATTTATTCATGCTTTTGCTATGGAATGGCAGGGAGAGAAAACAACAGAAAAGAGAGCGAGAAAGAGCAAGAACATACATATTTTTATATATGTGTGAAAGACTTTCTCCTCTTTTCCATGCTTTCATCCATGACAAAAGAAGCAACACAAAAGTTTAATTTTACCCCAAGATTCTGATGGAACAATATTTTTATAACAACTAATTTTCTTAAAATTTTCAATTAAATTAAGTAAACAGTGCTTGCAAAATAACTTTGCCCAGTTTATTAACTAGGCACGGAATTATTTAGGGTCGTTTCATACCAAACAATAAAATCTCATTTGACAACCACACCCCTGCTGCATTTAATAAAACATAAAGTCTCCCCATCCCACCTGCATTATATTAATTAGTACAAGTAAATGCTAAATATTTCCATCTTTATCTTACTAGTGTTTTATTATTTGTGCTTCACAAGTTTCTTATGAAAACACAAATCGTAGGTTTTAAAGGGTGTTCACAGAACATGACCCACAAGGACCCACATTACATTTTTGCAGCTTTGGACAGTGCCTGGCACAACGGCACCTCAGCCTCCACACCCAGCTTTAATGCAAATATTAGCAACGTCAGTCCTTGCTCAGATGCAAGTAGTAAGAAAAGGTCTTTCTAATGGAGGCCTGGGTTGAGCTTTGACCCAGGGATGCAGAAAGCTCAAAACCTTATTTCTGTGATCCATCGTCACGTTTTTTCCTGTGTCGTTACTGGACACCAGGTGTGCTTTTACGTGTGACACCTGAACAGCCCTCACTGACCTATATGTTTTGTATCCCTCTGCTAAGGTAGGAAGGGGCTGGGCTGCCCAGCAGTATGAAGAGTGCAAGAATTATCCTCACACAACTTAGTTTTTCACCTATAGACAGGTCAAGCTGCTCTCAGGACAATTGCTGTCTTCTGCTCCCTCCGCCTCACTTCATGCAAGATTTCATGCAGCCTCCACTAGATTTCGGCCTCTACTTGAAGTCTTAGTGCAGCTTAAGAAAGGAGGAGACCCAAGAAAGATTAAGGAAGGAAAACAGACATGTTGAGATCAATCCTTCAAAACCCCACAGAAAATCACTGGAAAAGTCAAGAGGTTCAGGCTATGCTTTTAAAAATGCTCAATTTCAAACACTTTCAGCAAACCTAAAATTTGCAAAGACAAAAAAATGTCTCTTTATCCTTACAGTATTCAGGAATTCACCACTGTCCACCTGTGAAAACAGACAGAACTGCAACAATGACTCATCTTCTATTTGTAAATGTATTATCTTACCTTTTTAAAAAAAAAAGTTACTCATTAATGATCACTTGCACTTAGAAATCACAGTGGAAATGACTACTTACTGCAACTCCAATTTAGCGTTAAATGCAAGTAAATACAAAAAAAAAATTATTATGTCCAAATATGTTTACATTCAAATATTTCAAGACTGGCCTCCTGGTCAAGTGGAAATACGTAAATAAATGCTATTCAATAATTGTGTTCTATAGTGAAAAACAACAATTTTATTCCTTTCTGAAAATGTCCAATCCAGGGTCAAACAAGAGTGATATTTGTATCTGGGTATATAATTACGTCTTTATGAATGACATACTAATAATCTTTCCCCCTCTCCCCATGTGTTGTGTAAGATCAAGAAAACCCATTAGCAAGCCATGCTAATACAGTATCAGGAATCTATAAAAACTAAAATTACAGAAATCAATCCAAACAAGTAAGCTTCAGTCATTGTCAAATAGTCTAACATACTAAATAACTATAAAAGCTAGTGTTTTAAGCTAAAGTTAATTAGTGTTTAATACAATTCCAGAAGTACAGTATTAACATAACTAATTATTAAGATTATTTACTTCTACCATGAACTGACTCTACAACCAGTCTAGCTCACTGTTTCTGGTTTTATTAGCACATGAAAATCACCAAGCTCTACATTCTTCTGCAGTTATTCAATGTAAAATTAGGTATTAGAATTGCCTTCTTTAACCACATTTCCAGCACTCTGGAGGTTATACCTCTGCTTCGAGAGGCAGAATCTAAAAAGTTAGTGTCCAAAATAATCAACAGGAAATTTCAGCATAAAGTGACCAAGTGATGAAGCTGGCTAGGAATCTTGTTAGTTCCATAATATTTTTATATTCTTTCAAACATTTCTGCAGTTTTTTTGGTTATTAATAGCACTTGACTCAGGAATATCAAAGAGAAGAAGATGCAGAGACTACATAGTGCATATCATAGGATAAAATGAAACCTAACAGATCAGCAAATTTAGTCTCCTAAACACGTTTTTGTTCTAGCAGACAAGAAAAATTCATGACCTCTTGGATTTTTCCTCACTTGGTGCTCAGACACTTACCATTTCAGCTTCACATCCTGAAAGACTGGCTGACCAAGGAGACATATTCCAAAATAAATCAATGGCTCTTGCTAGCATGGCCCATGAGTTTACTCTGAAGGACAATATACTCCAATTCCTGCAGAACTGGAATGCAGCTACGAATGCAGTAATCACTGTTTTTAGGAAATCCCAAAGTCAAAGTGAACAATCCAGGCTTCCAAAAAATTGTGATTGAAGAAAAACAGAGTACTGAAAGACATCTGCTTGAATTATTCTCCAAAACCGGGCGCAACTCTCTACACCATTGCCTAAGAATTTGGTTATGGCCAGGAGTACCAATCCTAAGTCATACACCTCGTGCAAATTAATATTCTTCCTTGCTGGAAAAAGAACAATGGTATGGTTTTCTTAGAATCACTGTCCTCCTTTTCAGTAAGGACACGTCTACTGGCAAACTTCATCATGTTAATATACAATGACTACATAAAATTATGCTGGTACCGTTTCTAGGCCAAAAAGGAACCAGACACATAGGCACTACCATGATACAACAATAATGTTTCACAGCATCCCAATGGCAGCCACAGTGGGGTTGCAGCGTACATGTGAATTGGAAGCGGATCTCCATCCTAATCTCTAATACGACAGTAGTTACAAACACCAGTCTTATATACACAGCTACTTCCACTGCTGCTGGTGAATCTCTGCTACAAAGTTTGCTAGTTTAGGCAAAGCTCCCACTTCCCAATGCTCTTTGAGCAAAAGCTGTTATTTCAAAGCAGCCTCCTGAAAAAGTCACTTGCCAAGGACCGTATCACCTTTCCTACATTTTCTGATTGCTGTCAAATCTTTACAGCTAGTACTATCTCCTTTCCTAATGACAAATCCTCAGCTTTGCAAGCCAGAATGCTACCGCCTTGCTGTCTATCAATTCCTGTGTACAGCAAGCCTCTTCAGCGTGAAGTTTCTTGAGTGCTCTCCAGATTGATAGGAACTCCTGCTTGTTTATGCTTAAAGAGATTTGACAGCTTCTAACAGCCACTTAAACTTTGATGTCCCATGGAAGCCCCCCAGCCTATTTTTGAAGCATCTGTTTCTAAAATTTCTGGAGTTAGTACTGCCAAGAAGAAGCGAGGCCTTATTAACATCAGATTGGCTCTCTACCACACTAGAATTTGCCAAGTGCTTTCCAACAAAGCTACAAGATAACTTTATGGACTTTCGTGCTTCTGAGACACCCTTGAAGCCTCCTACTGTGGCCATGAGAAAAGCCTGTAAGAGAACCCAAGACCTCACTCACCAATTCTGAGCATGCAATGGCATCATGATAAAGCAGAAAAAGAGGCAGAAAAAGAGGCAGCAAAAGAGTCTTCATCTAGAGCAACAGTCTGCAGCCAAGCTTTCAGAACCCCATACAAAACCCAATAGTGCTGCACTTAATACAGCTAAAATTTACTATGAACAGGAAATAGCAAGCTGCTTAGCAAACACATAACGTCTGTACATAACATTAAAACCTCCCCTGAGTTTGCTATAATTCAAGCCATTGCCCACTTTAATTAATATTTTACTCTTGAACTTTCCAGTGGTGCAGCTAACATACATAACATAATAAATCCCCACAAAGTAATATACTTACAAATTTGACCAGCAGTATCTTCTTTCCTATTGGAACAGAACTACTTGGAGTATGTATGGTAAGAGCATTCATAAAATTACAGAATAAAATTTCAGAGACTATCACTTAAAAAGCATTGTCCTAGAAATTTCTATCCTTTCCCAAAATAAACTACAAGTACCTTCTCTATTTATATTTGGTCTGAGATAGATGAAAGTTTAAGACAGTTTTATCTATAGGGATTCCAAAGCTTGAAAATGAAGTCTTTCTCCCAAATCACTTTGCAGCATCAGTCTCCTGGGACAGGGTGATGCGCAGACGCCATGCAGTTCTAGAGGCAACAAAAAATTGTTGTCGCAGTTAGGTATTTGGGAGCAGGCTCTACACCTGCAATATGCTTTTTTGTATGCATTCTCAGGCAATTTACTCATGACTTTGTACCCCAGCTACTCCTCTTTAGAACAGAATATATCACTCCTTTTCCTCTCCCTTTGCCTGTTCTGAGACCAGTCAGTAAGTTCACGAAAGCAGGAGACTATCCTTAAAGAAATTAATCTTGTTAATTCCCTGAAAATCAGGGAAAAGTCCTTATATCCTTATAGCACATCACAATTTTTGAATGGTTTGTGAAGTAGGATAGAGGTGAATCCATTTCCAAACTACTTGCTGCTTTATCAGAAAATGAGGGAAAACCCTATGCAGTTTATAACTTATACCCACAAGTGTCCAAGTCAAGTGAACCCATGTATCATGTATAGCCAACAGCAGCCCTCACCCACATCGAAATCCCTTCTGGTCCCCACAACTCTCCCCTTCTTCCCCAGCACAGCCTGCCACTCCTCGATCCTCCCTGTAATGCTCCCCAGTTCTTCCCATGCTCCCTACCCACTGTTCCTCTTCCGAGCTCTCCCTGTAGAAAGCACTGATCTCATCTGTACCTCCTCTCCAAAATCCACCTCAAAATAACCCATCTCCCTCCCATGTCTCCTACGTGCACATGTTAGACCGACAGCTGGGAGAAAGGCAACATGAGCTGTGGCTGCCTCCAAGTATGTGTTCGCTGCCTGGCCAGCCAAAATGAGGATGCTTGACACACACCACCTTCACTGCTGGCAGATCAAACAAATGGTGTGAGGTGCTGCACAAACCTGATTTAGAAGGCACTTAGTAAATTTAAAATCCTTCCCCCATAGAGCTTAAAACATGTTACAGCCACTGTTGGTAAGAGCAAGACATTCAGGCTAAGTACCTTTCACTGCATTTGTGACTATGTCAAAGATGACCAGGAGAGAGTCATTCCTTTCTAAGGACAACACCCCATCCATCCCAAATGTTAAGCTGAGGTTGCTGTTCTTAACTGAAAGAGCTCTGATCATGCAATGTCTCCATTTTTTCTCACTGTTGTCACAATAAAATTATGAATTCCAGATCATCTTTGTCAACTGGTCACATTAAGCCTTCCTTAAAATTTTTGTTCTCTCCATCTGACCACTACTCCCCCCAGATTCCACTACTTCTTCACCCAGTTTCCTACATGTCTTGAGAAGGAACATTGTTCCTGAAGAGAAGAGCAAAACTGTAGGTCTTCAGAAGTTGCAGAAATATTAGGAACAGGTTTTTTTAAATTATTATTTGTCCTGTCTCTAATCCTTTGATTATGATAGCCTTAAGGGCAGTTGGTATCTGACAAGGTTGGGGTTTTTTTTTGTTTGTTTTGGGATTTTTTTAAAATATTATTTCTCCAAACAAAGCATACTAGCTTACATGAAGATTCTGAGTCTCCATTCAGCTGAATTACACACACCTCAAGAAAAGTAGCATTGTACAGAGCAGCACTGTAAACCCTCGAGATCACCATCAGGCAGCTCTGTAATGTGAGGCCTTTCTTCATGCATCACTGCTCATGGCAAAATTAAGTCACACATAGCAGAAACAGTCATTCATGCTGTAAAGTTAACTTTAACTGGCCTCATGTGACATATTGTTCATGAAAAAGCCAAAATCTTAAGTTATTAGGAAAAAAAGAAATAATGTAATGAAATTATCTTCTCTATCAGTTAGCTTAGTTCCTTCACATCATCCATTCTGACTGAATTATTAACATTTCCTAAAAAAGGAACTATTAGCAATCCCAAAATTTATATTCTGCACTCAATCTAAACAAATATGGATAATTACATTTAGGGAATATTTAAATCCAGGTGTTAGACCAAAAAAATCAAAATGTAATTATTTTGTGCCACCTGTTCCCTGTACATTTAACAGGAATTTTATAAATAGTTTGAAGGCACAACTGTGTGGTTCTGCTTTGAACTCCTGTGTGATGCCACTAGCTATTTTCTTAAAAATCCAGATCAGAATAACTATGCAAAATTAAACAACAGGCAAATGTTCATGTTTTTAGCAGAAAGTTACTAAATTCTTGTGTGAATACTTGTCATTTTAATGATAAGATTTACTTGCCAAAGTTTACAAAAGTAGCCAAAGACTTTATCTCTGAGAGATGTCTTTAAATACTGCAGATAGTTGTTGCAGTCAAAGCACTCACTCTCCCGTAGAAAATAAACAGTTGGAAGCTTTCAATATTGTTACAATTCAAGTAACCCATCAGGATTTGAGGCCATTTGAAACAGGAATCAGATCCACCGCAGAATGAGGGGGAAAAAGAGAGAGGGATGGAGGATGGGAGCGGGGTGTCTTACATGACATCTCTTAGGCACACTAAAAATATTTTAATTAGATGTATGAAAGATTAATTTGACAATGAAATGTACCATTGATTAAAACTTAAACCTTTGACTTTTCAGCAATATACTTAAATGAGAGACAAACCTTCTGCATGCTGTAACACAAGAAAGACAGACTCCTCGGAGATGATGTACTTGTGCAGACACACCATGTTGGGCACACAGCGGGGGATGATGGTCGTTCTGCTCCTGCTGTACTCACTACTTTTCCTTAGACCCTGACAGAGAACAAAAAGGTCAGTTGTACCCTCAGTTGCCTTTGGAGCCTGCTGTGCTCTGTGTTTATCAACCAAACTAATCTATCCGAGTTACTCTGGGCTTCAGAGAAACCACTCATCTGCTGCTCTATGCCCCTCGGTCCCCCGAGGCTGCGCTGATGGCATCTGGCGCATTTCCAGAGAACAGAAGATGGCACAAAGCTGCCATTAAAATCAATTACATGGGTCAATGTTTTTATTAGAATCTCTCTCAAACTAAGTCATCAGGATGACACTCAGTTATTTCCCTGTGACCTTTTTTTAAAATTTTATTTTTGTGTGTGACCAAAAGACACTATTAAAAAAATTCAATTCAAGTTCTAAAGACAAAAGAATGCCTTAGCCTTACAGGTAATCCTCACGTTTCCACTGTACTTTAGTAAAGACAACCACCACCGCAACAAAAAGGAAAGGAAAGGATTAGTCTCCTTGAGAGGTAATGATTTTTGGGAGGTAGCACAGAGATGAAGTTGCCAGAAGTGAAAAAATTGATGTGGGAGGGAGAAAGGGAGGGGAGAGAGAAAGAGAAAAAAAATTATGTCAATAGTGTGACCTATTACAATATTGATAAACATAAGCAGTTAAATGGGAAATTCAATGTTACCCTATCCACTGGTAGATCAAGTGAGGTTCTAATATATAATATTCACAAATAATCCTTTCTGAGGAATAAACAGGTTTTCTGTACCCTGCACATACTTAAGACAAACAATTTCAAGGGCCAGATGCACAAAGTTAAGGCAGGATTGTAAGCCAGACCTGAAGTGAAGTTACAAAATGTTAACAACTAATTAGAGCTCCATGCTCAGGACACAGTTTTCCAGTCCTTCCTCCTATCAGCAGTGGAATTCATGTCAAGGGGAGCCTGAAATAATGGCCACAATAGCAATACTCATACTAAACTAATTCTCAGCATCACAGATGCTCCGAGCATATTGGGATCTTGATCTGAGCACTTTCTGAAACACAAAAGAATAATGTGAAAAATTTTATTCTGACCAATTAACTGTTTGTTAATTCAATTGTTTAGTAACATTAAACTCAGTTTTCACAGCCTGCTGATGTAAAACATAGGAAAGCAACTTTGAATAAGACCAGTCATCCAGTTCATCCAGAATTCACTTTGGCCGATATATTCTTCAGCTAAAGGAAGGAAGAACAAACACAAAGTGTTGTGGATGTATTGGGCTAAGGAGAATTTTCACCTTCACCAGCAGCCTATGCATGTCCTGAGCCACCAGGGCTTTACAGATGTTTTAAGCAGCACATTGAAACTGTGATTCTTTACCAAATCCTGCTAAAGGTGTTGGCCTCAATAACCAGTGACAACTCATGTGAGTAAACCAGCACATCCAAGCACTAGAGACGTTACAGAGAAAGGAAGGGAAAGCAACTGAACACCAACAAAAAGAATTCCAGTGCACTTAATAGGGATATACATATTAACGTAACAATATATCGCAGAGATAACTCAATACATTCGATGCAAACTGATCTTTGTGTGGTGGCATAATTTAGGACGCCAAACTGTTTAGAGGAGTAATAGAAGACTTTACTCACCTTCAGTACAAAAGTTTGCTGTGTTCTAGTGTCCATTACAAGCAAAACCTAAGCAAAAAGTATTCAGAGAAATATTTAAGATTCACACGAGTAAGTTAACAAAACACAGTTCTTAAATCTAATGTTGAATATTCTTACAAAGGAAGTAATACAAGTAATGATTTAAAAAAAAAAAAAAAAAATTGAAGTCATACAGCATACATTTGATAACCAGTCTTTCTTTAGGAAAAAAATGCCCAGGCCACAAAAACATGTTTTATCAACCGTATAGTTACTGCTGTCTCATTCCTCCACTGCCATTTTTGTTTTGCAGCACTCATAAGCCACAACAGAAACAGCTGCAAGGAAGTCCCTTTGTGCTACTGTAAACTACTATTAAGGTAACTACAACAAAAAAAGAGGATTTATTTAGGGAGAAGAGAGTGGATGGGTTCACTGCAGAGAGGAGAACACCTACAGCAACAGAGAGCATCTCTGTTAGGAGTGCATCACCTCTACTGAAAGCACTTTAAACACAGCAATGAGAGAAGTACTAAACCATGACTGCTCTCTTCACAAGCTCCATTTATTTGCGTGTTGAAAACAAACCAAACAAAAATATATACGTGTGTATATATATTTGGGAAACTGCATCTTTAGGGAGCTGGAACCTTCCGCATCTGTCTTCAAATCACCCTGCTCAGGAATTAATTGCTTTCAAACTCCAAGAACACCGATGTACTTGAAAAGCACCAGCTGCAAGACAGCCATACGAGCAGCACAAGCACAAGCCCAACCCTCCTCTTGGAACAAGAACAAGAGTGTGCACTCACTGTTTATTTACCATAGACATTGTAAACTTCCAGTACAAATATTCACATACAGTTATACCAAAATATTTAGACCACAAAAATCAAACACCTAAAGGGCTGCAAATGCCAGCACTGGGGTTACCAAACTTTGAGTTCAATAGACAAGATGCAGCAACACCAAGTCAATAGACAAGATGCAGGGAAGCCAAGTCAGCTCACATCAAAAAAAGACTTCTTGAAGAGGAAAGATGTGTCAAGAGTAACATGGTGTTGGATTCATCAGGTGGCAGGAGAAGGACAACGCAGCGCGCAGTCTCCCTTATCTCCCTGCTGTGTGGGGCAGTGATGCAGTCATGCCCTGCCATCTCGCAAAGGGTGACATGCTGACTTTCCCCGCTCCAAGGGAACCGCAGAAACAGCCGTCCTGTGCAGCGCCCACAGCGAGGTGAGGTGGAGACATGCAAAAGGCCCAGGCGGCTGGGCCAGGAGGGGACATCCCAGGGCAGGGTTGTGCTGGCTTCCCCCAAGCACCGGCTGCAGCAAAGCAACCTTTGCTCTTTGGAATGGCCGCATTCAAAACATTGCCCTCCATCTCTCCCCATCACACCCCTGAGCATCTCAAGCAAGAGGAGAAGAATTGCAGTCTTTTCTAATCATTTCTCTCTCACCAAATTTCACAAAAAGAAATAAAGTGACAGACTCCTCTCCATCTCAAAGACCTCCTTCTTTTACTAGGGTTGCACCCAATTTCAAAAGCTGTTCTGTATCTTCTGGGGGAAAAAAAAAAAAAATATCAGCAGAGGTTGGTGTTACCGAGATTTTTTGACAAAGGAATGACACACAGTTTCCATGTCAAGGGCACAGTAAGGAAAGGCAAATTTCCCCAGGTTACTGTTTGCCGAACAACATTTCAGGTTTCTTACCTGGGGCTTCCAGAAACAGTGGAAACCAGCTGAATAAATAACAACTGTAAAACTGGTTTTGTTATCCTTGCTTGACCAAAAGGTGTAAAATTAAAATGGAAAAAAAAAAAAACAAAAACCCAACAAAAAAATCCCACGAAACCCAACCCAAAGCAAACAAACCGCAAAAACCAATAAAGAAAATCAAAAGAACAAGAGAAAAAACAAAAGCCACTATACAAAAGATGCCAAAAGAAGATTACAAATGCTTCGGAAACAACTACGTGTTTACAGTCACTTTCCTCCTTCTTCTCCCAAGTTTGTTTGTAACTAGACACTGTTCACATTGAGGCAATAAATACAAGAACATATGTGATTTTTTTTTTAAATGTGCCCTTTGACTGTCAATATCTCCCAAACAGGTGTTGGCTAAATGATTATAAATTGGCCTCTGGATACACCTCTTCAACTGAGCCGTACAGGACTGGCGATAATATAATTAGACCTAAAAACATCAGGCTGGTGAATGCTTTCCATCTGTTTGGCAATAATGTTTAGTTAACAATAGTCTTTAAAAGAAGCACCTTCAACTTCAGTTCTTCAAGTTATTTATAGGGCCATTCTTAACACACCAGCACTCTTGCTAACAAGAGCTTTAGCCACTTGGAAATTATTAGCCATACGGCTGTATATGAAAAGGAATGGCAGCATTTAACATCTGTATCTCTCCAGATTTACAAGCATCAACCTCATTTAAAGTCATTTCTTAATGAACAGTTCCGTGGTCTGTATTAATATTATAGTTGCATGCACAAAGATCATAAGGAGCCAAACATTTTTTTAATACCAACAGTAGGCCAATCAGTAATGAAGCTGTCAGCATAAAGGACAGAATAATAGCTTCTTTAACCCTCAAACAGGATTTGTTCATTTGTAGAGTAGAAGACACCAATTTAAAAACTGCTCATGGGTTTGCTCACCTTTATAAAGACAAAAATCTAATTTGGTACTAATTTGATACAATTGTCTTTCCAATAAAAGGCTCCTAAAGCCATCTTTTATTCCATGATAAAACAACTGCTATAACTAAAACTGTCATGAAATAATTACCTTTGATAGCATACCTTATTGCACAAATACAATTAATGTATTCCTCCCTTTCATTTTTCACACTTGCTTATCAGCACTGTATTAGCATATGGTGTAACAGAACAGATTACTGAGCCCTCACCCTATAAGACAACATATAGAATGACTACCACTAACGCGAATAAAGCAGACAACGGGTCCCTTCAGGGCTAGCTTCATCTGTTGTTATATTACAACATCAAAATGAAAGTAGCAGCTACAGTTTTATAACTGTAATAACAACAAATAGTATTTGTGTGCCTTTGAGGTTAACCACCTAGATGGACTAACCAGCTTTTCTTTTTCCTTCCCATCAAGCACCATACCTTCCCCCAGTGATGATCATCTACAGCTCCACTTCATTTCACGGAAAATCATTTCTTTGCCAATTCAATACTGACCTTTCTGCAAGACTGTTTACCTCAGAAGGGACTCTAAGAAGCCCAGGAAAGAGTCATAAAAGTAACTTTAGAAATTCACCTAGTGATGTTCCATTTTGCCCTGGAAGACTGCAGACTATTCATGGGCCCACCAAATCAAAAACCTGCCTGCATGCATATTACAAAAAGGTGGTTTAACCAGATTCACCCAAATAAAGGACTACATGAATGAATAAATCACTATCAGAAAACTGGCATTTCAGAAAGGGATAAGACCAGGAAAGAGACGGTCACAAGTATATTTGCTTGACTTTTTATCACACATCCAGAGCACAGAAAGGTGAGCAACTCTTGGATGCATTACCAGGCTGCTGCAGAAGTGCCTAATGGTAAGCCTGCCAAATGCCAGCTTATTCTCCTCACCTCATGCTTCACAGACAATTTCTAGATAGTAGTGCTATCTCAATGAGTCCTTCCCATCTGCATTCCTTCACGCTTCTCTCCCATTGGAAAAGGGAGTGCTTCAGTAATTCTTTTTCTAAGATTTCTTTTTAAAATGCAAAGGGACAAGTCTCCACCCTAATGGCACGATGGAACAAAACAGGATTCCACATAGCATTCCCTACAGCATAACTCTGTTCTTCTCCAGAGCAGATCACACAGAGATGCTCATGTTAGACTAGGCTGCTCCTAGCTCGCATAAGCTGATGAAACCTATTTCACTGATGATGACTACTGTGTAACTTGTAATATTTAATACCTCCTAACAATGAGCTGCTGGCTGTAACATTCAGCATCCTATCTCAGAGGGGAGGGAGAAGAATGCACAGCAGGGCTTTGCACTGAGCAACTAGGCTGTGACACAATAGGAGACAAGGCAAAATCCTATTTGTTATACTTTTGTACGAACAGATTCAAGGTCTACACATCACGCTGGCTTCTACGGCACTGTTGCTTACTCGTTTTTTCCCTATTTTTCTGTGTTGATGACAACCTCAACGTGGCCAAAAACACTGACAGACAAATAGCAATTGCCACAAATAAATATGTAATGTAAATAAGTGTCTTCAGCAGCACAGACATCCCTATTTTGCACAAGCACTTGAGCTCTCAGGCACAACCCAAAAAACCAAGTGAACATAGCAGCACTACATGGCAGCATCTCAGTAAAGTGGCAGATAGCAATACCCCTCCGTGATGCCAAATAGGATTTGCTACTTGTGATTTTTTTTTTCCCCTAAGTCAAGGGTTAATTCTGATGCCGACAGCAGCTACTTAAAAAAATTAGCTTCTTAGATTTGATTTACAGGGTATCCAACAGCTTAGTGGAAAATAAATTAAATTCAATTCAATATAGTAGGTACAATTAATTGGAGAAAAATAAAATAAAACCTGCCTGGTAAATAACCATAGTCTAGGTTTAAGAAAACAGTTAATTTTAGGATCCTTTAAATGCACAGAAATTAGCAAATGTTTCAGTATGCTAATTTTTTTTAATTAAAAGATATTTCTGCAGTAAAAGCTCTTTCATATGCACTACTGATTCTTCATCAAACGTTAAGTTTCCAACTTAACACCAGCATAGCCGGTGGCAGCCTGAAGGTTTACCATCTGCTGCCACCCAAAGTCACGGTGGCCACCTTCAGAACATATGCATCAAAGCCCTGAGATAAGAGACTGAAGGAATACTGCAGAAGTCAGCATAAGGGGAATCGCAAACCCAGAGGCAGGCAACAGGCAAGTCACCAGGAAAAAAGAACGTGGTGAACCATTAGTCACCCTACTGAGCACCCAAACAAGGTCATGGGGGACAACACTGGAAGAACTAAGGACTGCTCTAAATGCAC